AGAAAATCAAATAGTACTAGTTTGAGGATACTGCCAGAGAAACAACAGAGTTTTATTCACAGATAGTTATCAAGTGCTTATTGAATGCCAGGCTCTTTGTTAAGTGATTTACATGCTCATTTCATCCTCACCAGAACTCTGGCATAAATTATTCCATTTTACAGTGGAGGAAAAGCAAAGCTTAGAATTTGAGTAACTCACCCAAGATCATATACCTTTTTTTTCTTCCTGAAGTTCTGCTGTCCTCAACTCTTTATTATATTTATGACTTATTTTGCCTTGTATCTCTCACTAAGACACTCTCTATCCAAGAATCTTTGCCTCAAAGTAGTCCATGCTCTAAAACATCCTGTCTCCTCTCTTGTTTCTATCTCCCTCAGCAAAAAATTTCATATTGAGCCAGGCCTGCTGGTTCATCAAAAAAAAAAAAAATTTTTTTTTAATTTTTTATTTGCTAGTCAGGCCAATCTTGATTAAATATGAAGGTGCTAATCCCTAAGTTTTCCAATGTAAAATGTTTGCTTTTTTTTTCCTTTTAATTCTTTTTTTTTTTTTTGAGACAGAGTCTCACTTTGCCGCCCTTGGTAAAGTGCCATGGGGTTATGCATAGCTCATAGCAACCTCAAACTCTTGGGTTCAAAGGATCTTCTTGCCTCAGCTTCCCAAGTAGCTGGGACTATAGGCACCCTCCACTGCACTCGGCTATTTTTAGGGTCTCACTCTTGCTCAGGCTGGTCTCCAACTCCTGAGCTCAGGCAATTCACCTGCCTTGACTTCCTGGAGTGCTAGGATTACAGGCTAAGGTAAGGTGACCAGACATTCCGCTTTTGGCGGGACAGTCCCAATTTTTAACAGTTTGTCCCATGTCCCGGAGCGTTTTTAAAAGAGTTCAGATTTTTGGAAAGAATGCACGACAAGCTAGGGAACGGCGGGAGAATGGGAAGGAAATATACGGTTTTCAGCTGCCATGTGGCTATTTCACCAGGATATGAGTTTTATATGATTTTTGTTAATTTTATAATGTTAAACTTTAATAATAAATGTTGAGGTTTGGCGCCTGTGGCTAAAGCGGCTAAGGCGCCAGCCACATACACCTAAGGTGGCGGGTTCGAATCCCCAGCC